TTGCTGGAAAACTACTCGAGAAGCTCATACAAGGGAGACTTTGCAACGACATAGACCGTGCTGGAGGTTTTGCCACCAACCAGCATGGCTTCCGGAAAGGTCATTCGACAGTCGGAGCAATCAAGAAAGTCATAAAAACAGCAACACAAGCATGGTCTGGTAGCCTCAAAGCTCGTAAAGTATGTCTTCTCCTCACGCTAGATGTCAAAAACGCATTTAACAGCGCAAATTGGAGAGATATTTTTGACGCCCTGGAGCACACGTTTGACGCGGAGCCAGAAAATCTGGCACTAGTCGACAATTACCTTGACGATAGAAAGCTAATAGTGGAAACTACTGAAGGCCCACAAGAATCCGTCATAACGGCCGGCGTGCCGCAAGGCTCAATAATGGGGCCTGCTCTATGGAACGCAGACTACGACGAGCTTCTTGAAATCCCGTTGCCAGAGCAAGTAGAGCTAACAGGCTTTGCAGACGACGTTGCAGCCACTATAGTGGCGGACAGCGTAGAAGAGGCCGAACTGTTAGTTCGAGAAACCATCGACACCGTCGAGACTTGGCTTGATAAGCATCACCTGAAACTCGCCAAACAGAAAACCGAGATGGTCGTTTTGACACGTCAAAAATGGTTCCCAAAATCATTTGCTGTGGACATGGGAGGAACAATACTGACGTCAACAAGGGCCCTGTGATACCTAGGGGTCATAATAGACGAGAAACTATCTTTCCGTGAACACCTCGACAGTGCATGCAAGAAAGCCAGCAAGACTGTGTCTAGCCTAGCACGAATTATGACCAACACCATGGGACCAAGAACAAAAAAGAGAAGAGTTCTTCTAGAAGCAGTCCACTCGGTACTGCTTTATGGAGCAGAGATATGGGCAGACATATTAAAGCAGAAGACCTATTGGCGAAAGATAGCAGCAGTACAGCGGCGAGGCGCTCTCAGGGTTTCCTGCGCCTACCGCACAGTTTCCGAAGTGGCTGTATTGGTCATTGCAGGAGCCGCGCCCATCGACCTATTAGCGTTCGAAAGAGCAAAACTCTATGACGCTAAAATCAGTGACGACAACATGAAGGACGCAAGAACGAGGATAAAGGCGGAAACGCAGCAAGAGTGGCAGGACCGATGGACATCGGGAGAGACGGGCAGATGGACGGCGCGCCTGATCCCAAACATCAACGTCTGGCTTTCTCGAAAGCACGGGGATACGGACTTCTTCCTGACGCAGCTATTGACGGGACAAGGGCAGTTCACTGGTTATCTTTTCAAGATGGGTTTGTACAGCACACCAACGTGCAAATACTGTCCGAATAAATTCTAGACACAGTCTTGCTGGCTTTCTTGCATGCACTGTCGAGGTGTTCACGGAAAGATAGTTTCTCGTCTATCATTACCCCTAGATAGCGCAGGGCCCTTGTTGACGTGAGTGTTGTCCCTCCCATGTCCATAGCGAATGGTTTTGGGAACCATTTTTGGCGAGTCAGAACGACCATCTCGGTTTTGTGCTTGGCGAGTTTCAGGTGGTGTTTATCGAGCCAAGTCTCGACAGCATCAATGGTTTCCCGAACTAGTAGGTCGGCCTCCTCTACACTGTCTACTATTTTCGTGGCCGCGACGTCGTCTGCAAAGCCCGTTAGCTCCACTTGCTTTGGCAACGGGATTTCAAGAAGCTCGTCGTAGTCCGCGTTCCATAGATCGAGCCCCATTATTGAGCCTTGCGGCACGCCAGCCGTTATGGCGTATTCTTGTGGGCCTTCCGTGGTTTCTTCTATTAGCTTTCTTTCGTCAAGGTAGTTGTCAACTAGTGCCAGATTCTCCTGTTCTACGTCAAATCTGTGCTCCAGGGCGTCCAAAATATCTCTCCAATTTGCGCTGTTAAATGCGTTTTTGACATCTAGCGTGAGGAGAAGACATACTTTACGAGCTTTGAGGCTACCAGACCATGCTTGTGTTGCTGTTTTTATGACTTTCTTGATTGCTCCGACTGTCGAATGACCTTTCCGGAAGCCATGCTGGTTGGTGGCAAAACCTCCAGCACGGTCTATGTCGTTGCAAAGTCTCCCTTGTATGAACTTCTCGAGCAGTTTTCCAGCAATATCCAGCATACAGAGTGGTCTAAACGACCAAGGTGTTATGGGGGTTCCCTTACCTTTGTCTAAGAGAACCAATCTCTGCCGTTTCCAGACCGTGGGAAACGTGCCAGTTGCCAAGCATGCATTGTAGGTGTTCAGCAGTATGTCTGGGTATTCCAGGGCTACAATCTTGATCACCGATGCCGGGATGCCATCAGGTCGAGGTGCCTTTCCTGTTTTGAGTGACTTGGCCGCGTCTTGTAGTTCCTTAGTTGTGAAGGGTGTTACTTCGCTGTTCTTAGTGTAGTGTTTCTTTTCCCACGGTAGGTGTTTGGGAAAAAGCTCCGCTACAATGCTGTCCATCATGGCAGGAGACTTCGGCGCCTCTGGTGAAACCTTTCCAAGTAGTTTGGCGACAATTTGGTAGGCTTTACCCCAGAGGTCATTGTCGAGATCATTGCAGATCTCTTTCCACAACTTCGCTTTACTTGCTTTGATGGCTCCGTTTAGCGTCTTTTTGGCCTGCTTATACTCTTTTGAATACTCGTCTTGGCTTGGGGAGCGTTTCGTGGCTCTCGTTGCTCGGCGACGTAGCTGATGGCATAGTGTGTGTGTGTGTGTGTGTGTGTGTGTGTGTGTGTGTGTGTGTGTGTGTGTGTGTGTGTGTGTGTGTGTGTGTGTGTGTGTGTGTGTGTGTGTGTGTGTGTGTGTGTGTGTGTGTGGGTATATGTGTGTGTGTGTGACTATGTGACTCGCTTATAACTTTTGAATGACTGAACCGATCGGAATGAACTAAACGGCGTTCTAAAGAGTTCCCTTAAACTTAGATTTCCTGAGAATTTGAACCGATTTGGACCGATAGATTTTGAGAAATTTTAAAAAATTTAAAAAAAAATAAGAAAAAAATCATTTTTGAAAGTGGTTTTTTTGGAATATCTTTCGAACGGCTCTATCGATCAACTTAAAAAACTAATCCGCCCTTAAGCTTAAAAAACCTCGCTGATCGTCGCTAATCCGGTCAAAATCGGTTGATTCGTTCGAGAGATATCGTGAACGAAAGAAAACCGAAAATAGGGTTTTTTTGACATAACTTCGTCATTTCTTATCGGATCGTTTTTGATGATACAGAATAATTTTGAACCTTAAAAAAACCACGAATGCCGCCAAAAACGTGGAAATCGGTTGATTAGTTCGAGAGATATCCTCGATAAAATGTTTGGAAACAATTGTTTTTTTTACATAACTCCGACATTTTTTGGAATAACTTTGAAACGGCTGCACTGATCGATTTCAAAAACTAATCATCTATTAGCATGAAAAAATTACGTCGATTGCCGTCAAGCCGGTCAAAACTGGTCAATTCGTTCAAGAAATATCATGAACGAAAGAAAACCAAAAAAAGTGTTTTTTGAATTACTCCAAATTTCCTAGTTTTATCAATTCAAACTTAAAGATTTTTCATTAAACTAAAAAAATTGCATCAAATACTGCCAACCGCGTGAAAATCGAGTGATACATTTAAAAGTTACTGCGGTTTGAATATTTAAAAAATATTGTTCTATGATACTTCTATCAGACTTTTGAGCTTGAAGAGCTCAAAATAACACATAAATTGTATTTTTGAGCTCGAAGAGCTCAAAAACGTCATTAGTGCAGTTTTATGCACCTAGGTATGGAATTAGCGGGAAGTTGCACCGATGGCCTTCAGGGTCTACCATTTTTCTAATTTTTTTTTCATTTTTAAAAAATTTTGAATTTCGTCAATTTCATAGAAATCATTTTCTATATGTAAAAGATAGATGGAATCTATTGAATTTAACTTAATTGTCTTATAATTCGATCTTGATACTCTTCACATCTCTCGTATAATTATTGTTGCACCATGTTACATGTTACGTTTTGACGCCAATAATCCGATTATAAATTACTCTTACGTTCGCTCTTAATTATGCGCTATAATTATTTATAAAAATATAGTTAGTTTATAAGCTCGGAATTTTTACAAAACACTGGTCCACCCGTTGGTTAGAACTCTAGTCTACGCTCATTGTTATGAAATATCTTTGTACTAGATGATGTAATGTTGATAATGCTCCATTTATACACAACAATTCATCCAATGAAATTAAAAATTTAAGTGTAAGTTAATACTTAGAGAACTTAAACGATTTTAATCAAATAATACTCAATAACTGAGTGCTCTCAAATATTCGTGATAAATAATTAATGTTCAGTATTCAAAGCTCTGTATCTGTGATAATGTTCTACAATATATTGATAATACATCAATGAAGTGACTTAACATCTTCCTACACCCTGTCCCAGTAAAATAAATAATTAGTGTTTAAAGGGTGACATAGGTTTCGCGGTTTCAAAAAGTCGATTTTTTTTATTGTTTTATTAATTTTTACATCTGAAGAATATTGTCCTAAATTTTCAAGTCAATCCAAGTAATAGTTTCGGAGATACGGCCTTTGGAAGTTGCGCACTCATATTCCACTTTTATTGTCACTCAAAACTTAAAAAGGGTTTTTCTCGAAACTATGTTTTCAAAGTCGGCTGTCAAGATTTCTCAAAAACTACTGAACCAACCTTCTGTACATTTTTGGACATAAATAAACTTAAAGAAAAATAAAGTCCTTATTCTAGTAAATATTAATTAAGAAATAAATTGGCCATGGTTAGCGGCGTCTCTTTATTTTTTGCTTCGGTGTAAATTTAGGTTTTACTGTTTATAATTGAATTTTAGTATGAGAGCTATGATATGTTGCTCTGGTCTTTCTCTTAGTATTTAAATTATAGAAGTGGAAAAAGCACATAAAAAAACCACTCTGACAATCTGTGATAAACTTAAAAATTACTTAAGGACTAAACATTATATACATATTTACACTATTTACATTTTAATAAAGAGAAAACAAACTTTAGTTTGGCACCTCGAATCTTGTTGGTAGCAAATTCTTTCGCTGTCGATCTTGTTGTTTCATTTTGTAGCCACTTTTCATCCTGCTGTTCAGCTTGTCCATGTATGTGGCTCCATTTAGCCACCAGTATTTTTGTATGTTTAGACGATGGAAGTCTTCTCTGTCGCATTTTGGGATTGCCATTGAGTACTTGAGTGTCCTGGTGGATTGCGGATGCTCAAGGTCAATGGTTTTGTTCACTTTGTGCCTACTTCTGTAATATATATGGTAGGGATGTTTAATTCGTTTTGGATTATTCCACGTTTATCAAGTTCGATGAAAGCTTGGGGTTGTATGTACCCTTTGGTCGTAGCTACTAATAAGTCAGTGTTGGATTGGCTGATGCTGTTTATTATTTTTTTGTCTATTGTTGTTAATTGGCCATAATAATCTCTGGTTAATTTGAGTATGAAATTGTCTATTCTTGATATATCTCCGGCGTCGTACAGTGACTGGTTGCTGATGCGCTCTAGGTATTGAGTTTCAGGTTTTCTGTAGAGGCCTAGGGCAGCTCTTAGGCAAGATCTTTAGAGTTGTCTCATCTTTTCCATTTGAGCTGCTCCTAGGTTCCACCATACTGGAACGGCGTATGTTAGCAGTGGTCTAATTAAAAGCTGATAACAGATTATTCTTGCTTTATTGCTGATGTTCTTGTTGTGGAATAGTCTCGTAAGTGCTCTGTACGAGGCTCTGGCTTTCAATAGTTGTGTATCAACGTGATTTGTACATCTTAACAGGGAGTCGAGATGTACTCCAAGGTATTTTACCTTGCTTTTAGTAGGAATCACTGCTGGTTCTCTAGTTCCTGGGATATGGGTTACGATTGAGAATTCTTTAGCTTGTGCTCTTTTTTTGCAGTTAATCAGTTGTGATGGTTGTCTCCATATTATGGTTTCACATTTGGAGGGATTGATTCTTAAATTCCACATCGCATAGTGATTATTAATATTATTAACAATCGACTCCAGCTTTGGTTGGATCTCGTCTGGGGCATCTCCGGCTACGTAGAAAATTGTGTCATCCGCATACGCTATCGAGTAAGTTCCATTATTCTTGTTAAGTTCGTATGAGTTTAGAATATCACTTGTGTAAATGTTGAATAGTGTTGGTGAATTAACTAGTCCTTGCATCAGTCCTTCAAGGATGTAGTATTTAATCGTGGAGATGTTTATTTCGTCCCAGATGACAAATGATCTATGGGTAATCATAGACCAGATTAAGCCAATCAATTCGGTTTAAAATTTTTTTTAATTAATATGTAAATTAGGCCAAAGATCCAAACCGAATCAAAGGCTTTTTCGAGGTCAATCAGTGTCGCTCCTACCATCTGATAGTTGGCAAGGTGTTTGTTCACGTCAGATAATAGTTTATGGATGGCATGTGTTGTTGAGTGTCTTCGTTTGAATCCAAATTGATTATCAGGTATGATACTATTGTTAAGGCAGTGAATGTTGATTCTGTTATTGATGATAGCTTCGTATACTTTGCTTATGTTGGGTGTTAGACTTATTGGTCGGTAACTGGATGGTAGGTTGGTGGGTTTGTCTTTTTTATGGATCGGTAGGATCTTTGCCATTTTTCACCCATCAGGGAAATATTGTAAATTCATGGAATTATTAAATAAAATGGTGTAATCTTTAATTATTTTTGCTAATAAATGCTTTAATACTATTGCTGGCGTTTTGTCGATTCTAGATGAGGTTTTATTCGGTAGTTTTTTCAAGATTATATGTACCTCAGCTACGGAGCAAAAGTATTTATCTTCATTAATGACTGTGGTTGGCATGGATACTCTGTTTGTATTGGAAAAGTTGCAAATTGTTTTATTGTTGTTCTTGTCAGCGTTGTATTGTTCAATGAAGTTATTAACTTTTTGATCTATCATTTCCTTTAGCCTAGTATTTTTGTTGAGGTATCTGGGAGAGTTTATGGTTTCGTAGTATGCTCCTATTACGTTTAATTTATCTATTTGGTCCTGTATTCCATATTCTTGGTCCTGGTCTATTGCTTGGTTGGTTTTGCATTGACTTCGTGTAATTAAGGGGATATCCGTTTTTTTAATGGTGATAGTTGGTATTTCTTGTCTGGGCTTCGGTCTGAAAATTTTATTTATGGTTCGGAAGAATTTTTCTGGGTTTTTGTGATCAATTTTATTGAGAATTTTTTGCCAGTGATTTTCTATTTCTTTTTTTATTTCTGTTTGTATTTTATCATTAGCTGTTTTTATTAGCATTTTGGCCACCTTAATAGTATTTTTATCTTTTGCTAAAGTAGATTTTTGAAGAGAGTGTAATTTTGTCAGTAATTTCGATTTATATTTATGAAGTTTTTTTTATATTATTGTTTACGTAATGGGTTATCTTAGTTGTTTTGTCTGCTGTTGGGACTATTGCTTCAATGGTTTGTTGAATGTGTACATTAATTTTATCCAGATACTCATCTATTTCTTCTTTGCTTAGATTCTTATCATCCAGAATGTTAAGATCATAGTTGTGATCTAAATGATTTGTAAAAGATTTCCATTTGGTGGCTTCGTATATTGGTTTGAATGTGGTTGGTGTCGGGTCTTGCTGGATTTGGAGCTGGAGTTCTATTACTATTGCCTTATGGTCACTATCATACGGCAGCGTGTTTAATTTATTATTTGTTAAATTTATTAAATGTAGTCTTGAGTCTAGGATGGCTATATCGAGTATAGTTTGAGCAGGTATGAATGTAGGTTCATCTGGAGTGGCAATTATGGATCTGAACTTGAGTAAGTTGCTACTTTCCCATTTGGTTAAGAATCTGCCTCTTAAATTGTTTGATCTGTCTCCGAAATCAGTATGTCTGGCGTTAAAGTCCCCAGCAATGATGTAGTAATTATTGTCGTTCTGTAAATTTAGCTTCGTTAAGAGTGAGTTGAGCTCGTCCAGAAAATCCTTTTTAATTTCTGACTTGTTGGTTGCATATATGCTTGCTATTATTAAATGCTTCTTTTTCTTATCTAGGTTAATTTTTATTATTGAGTATTCAATAATTTTATTGTTTCTTGAGCTAGGATAAGTGATTTTTGTGAACTGGATGTCTTTATGGATGATAATTGCAGTGCCTTCACTTCTTTGGGCGTTGTGTCCGTCGTTATGTATGATATTATAACCGTCTATGTACAGTTTGTATTTGTTGTTTAATTTCAGTAGCAGAACAAGGAGGATTTGGCTCCCCGATAAAGTAGATTTCTGCAATACCGACATTAATTTTCTGTCTTGCCGATGGTCGTTGGTGGAGTTTCTGCCATATCGATGGTGGGTTTTTGTGTTCTTTTTTACCGACTGTTGTGGGGATTATCATCGATTTGGTGGTCGATATTTACCGACTGTTGTGGGGAATTATCATCGATTTGTTGGTCGATATTTACCGACTGTTGGGGGTGATTATCATCGATTTGGTGATCGATATTTACCGACTGTTGGGGGATAATCATCGATTTGTTGATCGATTGTTTGAGGTCAAAATACTACCACCCCAACAGCAGAGCTGATACCTGTGCCGTGTATCAGCTTTGGTGTTGATGTGATATGCACTTATTTGATGTGATGATGAATTTTATATATATATTCAAATGACTTGTAGTATAAGTATATGCGAGAAAGTTCGATACTAACGCCGCTCTGGTGGGATGAAATGTAGGCATTGAAGTCTGTTTATCGATTTGAGGTAAGTTTTATCGACAGTATGATGTCAACTAGTGATCTATGTTATTGACTGCGAGTATCAACAGTCGGTATTATACCGAGTGATGTTCTGTTTTATCGATGTGGGGTAAGAGTTTTTTGTATTTTAACGTTTTTTAGCCCCTACTCTCTCGATTACATCATGTTTTTACGTCATCCGACAAGTTTAAACCTGTTTTTTAGCGTCGTCATCGTGAATTTTAACGTTTTTTACCCCCTCTTCTCTCGATTACGCCATGTTTTTACGTCATCCAATAAGTTTAAACTTGTTTTTGGCGTTGTCATCGTCGTTGGGAGGGGATCGTTGGTGGGGAGTTATACTTACTTGCCTCCAAATTTCAGTCTTCTGCCTGCAGTTACTTCAATCAGTCGTTCAGTTTAAAAAAAATATGTGTCTTTTTTTAAAAATATTTAAAATTGTGTACTCTACGGAAAATCAAGTAAGTCATTTATTTCATTATTCTATTTTATAACTAATTTCTACTATTATTATTATTAACTATTTTCTATCTATTTCTTAGCTTAATAATTCAAAAATGGATTTGAGTGCTATCAATAAAATCAACAACTTACCGAACTTTCTACCAACTAAAAAGTTTGAAGAACTGCAACGAAACAAGATGTATCAAATCATGGAAATTAAGAAAGTCAACACAAAATATGGACCAAAAATTTTGGGAATTCTGGAAAACGAGTTTTCAATCTTCTTCCCG